CTGTGGAGAGCAGTCGGCCAGCCAGCGGCCACGGCTGGGCAGTGCAGCGGCCGCACCGGCCAGGGGATCCCAGGCACTCCTTCACCCTGCACCTCTTCCTCATCCCCTTCTCCGGAAAAAATGCCCTGTCGCGCCCCCAGATTTGTGGGTAGGGTGGGCCAGGCGCTTCGCCTCAGACTGCTTCATCGTTTAGAACCCTGAAGCTTGAAATGTGCAACTTCTGCAAGGATAGAGGGAGGGTCGTTCTCAAAATGTGGTTCTCGCGGTGGCGCCGTGCACATTCGACTTAAAGTTCGTAACAGCATGAAGGACGGAAGGCAAATGCTTTTCCAAATGTGCTTACCGCCTTAGCGCCGTCCACATCCGCTATGAAAGTTAAAAAGATAGACTGCGGGTGGTTTTCAAAATGTGGCCCCCGCCCGCCGCGCACATTGGTTTGAAACGTTTGCAACAGTTTCAAGGATGGAAGGGCGGCTCCTTCGCAACTATCTCTATACGTGGCTCTCGCCTCAACACCAGGCGCATTCGACACAAAAGTCTGCAACATTCAGAAGGATTCTCAGGGTAGCCCCAAGACTTGCATTCTGGCGCGACCTATGGATTGCATTCTGGCGAGACACGTTGATTCGCGGACTTGAAATCCCTGGAATGGCATTATGGCACGATGTAGACATGTCATGACGCAATGGTCGCGTTGATTCGCAGCGTCGAAGTCCCAGAACTGGTGCTTCGGCACGGTTGGGGAATCTCAGACGGTTGTCTTTCGATGGGGGGAGCTTCCTGCAAAGAGGCAAATCCTGCAGAGGCCTAAAAAAGAAGAAGCCTGGAGGGAGGGTTGAGTGCGACATCGTTGATGCGTATTGGGCTTACACTGGTCTTCACCCTCCTCCTCCTCCTCAACAACATCATCATCACCATCACCATCGCCATCACCATCACCATCACCATCACCATCACCATCATCGTCATCATCATCATCATCATCATCATCATCATCATCATCATCATCATCATCATCATCATCATCATCGTCGTCAGCATCATCATCATGCTTCTCCTCCCCCTTCTCTCTCATTTTCCGCTCAGACCCAAGCCGTAACCGCAGCCGTTCTGCCCCCTTCAGCACACGCTCGTCGCCTGGCTTGGGCCCTCGCGCGACGCCCGCCGGAGGAGAATCATTTGGTCCGGCCGCGGCCCAGCCACATAAGGATTTCGGGACACCAGCGGGACACCGGCGGGACACCGCGAGCCACCGGCCGCCGGAGGAGAATCATTTGGTCCAGCCGCGGCCCAGCCACAGGAGGATTTCCTCTCGCCCGCCCACGCAGCTTCGCCTCGCCCGCACGCACGCACGCACGGCACGCACGACAAGAATCCGAAACCGAAATCGATTTCCCGGTAGGGGGGGTCTCCGTTTCACTTCGGACTCACCCCCAATTTCCGATTTTTCAATAGTGAATTTAACGACAACAACCACCACCACCACCACCACCACCACCACCACCACCACCACAACAACAACAACAACAACAACAACAACAAACAACAACAACAACAACAACAACAACAACAACAACAACAACAACAACAACAACAACAACAGCAACAAACAAACAAAAAACAAACAAACAAACAAACAAACAACAACAACAAAAAACAACAACAACAACAACAACACCAACAACAACAACAACAACAAAAACAACAGCATCAACAACAGCAACAACAACAACCACAATAACAACAACAACAACAACAACAACAACAACAACAACAACAACAACAACAACAACAGCAACAGCAACAACAACAACAAATAAGTTTAAGACTGTTCGCCCTTATCTGCTCGAGTGTCCAATAACGCGTATTTCCCAAACCCTCGATACCCGCCATCTTCGTCTTCGATCGAACCCTTTTTGGGGGGTATACCTTTCTTCCCTGCGGGCCGGGCCCCGGCAAGCGGCGGGGCGGCCGCGGACCGTCGGCCTGGCCAGCGGCAGCGCTGATCGGCGGGGCGGCCGCGGACCGTCGACCCGACCCGAAGAGGGACGGACAGGGGACCGACCACGACGACGACGACGACGACGACGACGACGACGACGACGACGACGTCGAAGACGACGGCGACAACGACGACGACGACGACAGCGACGACGAGCGAAAGCGAGAGCGAAAGAGAACGACAGCAGGGCCATGAAGGACACGAACTAGGCCACGAAGGGCGACAGCGGGGACACGAAGGGAATGCGTGAGCGCGAACGATCGGGGGCCACGGATGCAGATAATGCGGGGCCACAGAAGGCAACTATGGGGCCACTGAGGGTAGCAACTGGGCCTCGTAGGACAGTGTGGGGGACACAAATGGCGACAGCGGGGCCGCGAAGGGCATGCACATGGGGCCACAATGGGCGCGACTCCTGGGTGCTTGGGTGTTGGGAGCGCGGCGCTTGGGCAAATAGCAAGAAATGCCAACGCAAAGCCATTCTTCAGTAAATTGCAAACAAGTCTCCAGCGAGAGCGCGACTCCAGAGCGCCGGGAGAGCGATTCCTGAATGAGTTGTAAAGAAGTCCAAAGCGACAGCGCGACTCCTGGATAAAATGCGAGGAAGTCTCGGGCGGGAGCGGGGGTCCTGGCTAAATTGTGAGGAAGTCTCAAGCGGGAGCCGTTGTTGTTGTAACCCGGGGCCCAGGGGGCCAGTTTGACCAGGAAGACTTACCCTGTCAAAAAACAAGGTGCGAGCGTCGAGAGACACACTTTGATTGAGAAAAAACAGTATGCACCGGTGGGGGGGATCAACAATAAATATTTTTCATAAATGAGAATTCAACAACAACAACAACAACAACAACAACAACAATCACTTTACCCGAACGCTCAGTGTTCTCACCAGTGCCAGGGTTTTCATGCGACGCCAGCCAATACCCCCACTTTGTGGGGGGGCAGTGCAAGCTCTACCAAATATCCACACGACTCTTCGCCACCACCCACACCCAGCTTCCCGCCCTATGACGTTCGGACACTTCACTTCGTGGCCTGCGGACGACCGTGGCTACTACACTGGCGTGGAGTACACACCCACAGAAGTTGTTAAGCCTACGTTCGTACACCCACAGAAGTTGTTAAGCCTTGTTAACCCACAGAAGTTGTTAAGCCTTCCACAGAACATCTGTTGCATATGATGCATATGGTACATGATACACATGATACACATGATACGTACTCACAAGATAGTTGATCACATCTTTAGGGCAAATTCCTGAGGGATGTGGGAATACACAAGAGAGAGAGGATATGGTTGTCCCGATGGTTGTCTCGATGGTTGTCCCGATGGTTGTCCCGATTCGGACAGCGCGCGCGGGTGGAAATTTTGAAAAGTCGTGCAGGTGTTTTTCGAGGACCTACGGTGCGATTCGTGTGATTTTATGATGCGCGGTGCTAAAATTCTTAAGAAGCCCAATGGTTTTTGGAGATTTCGGCGTGCGCGCGCGAAGAAAAAACGAATGTGTCCCGCATGGTATTATTTGACAGGGATGATGGCCCTGGCAGGTGCGCAACCGTTGTCGCAGAAGTTCGAAAAAGTTGCTCGCAAAAGCCCGTTTGACAGAAATGTTTAAAAAGTGTTGGGTTTCCTACGAATCCGCAAGAGCGCGCGGGATGAGATTTTGACATTTTTTTGTTGAAAAACCATTGGTTTTTTGATGTTTTTATGTTAAAATCGCTCCGAACACTAAGCTTTTGGAAGGATTTCGTCTTGCGCGCGCGAATGTCCACTTTACCTTATTTTTTGCAAGGGATTCTTGAAATTTGATTATATTAGAACAAGAAATGTCATTTTATAGTGTTTTTTGCAAGGGAAAGCGGATTACAACAAAACAACCGGATCTTGATCACATCGTTTACCTGAGGCTTCCTCACGAAAATGATGAAAATGTAGCTGCGGCCTAGGCGGCGCAGGGGGGCCGTGCACCAGGGGCCCCAACAATAATTATTCTTTAGAATTAATAATGTTCAACAACAACAACAACAACAACAACAACAACAACAACAACAACAACAACAACGACGACGACGACGACGACGACGACGACAGCAGCAGCAGCAGCAACAACAACAACAACAATCATTTTAAGACTGTTCGCCCTTATCTGCTCGAGTGTCCAACAACGCGTATTTCCCAAACCCTCGATACCCGCCCTCTTCGTCTTCGATCGAACCCCTTTTGGGGGTATACCTTTCTTCCCTGCAGGCTGGGCCCCGGCAAGCGGACCGCGGACCGTCCACCCGACCCCAAAACGGACGGACGGGGGACCGAACACGACGACGACGACGACGACGACGACGACGAAGACGTCGACGACGACGGCGACAACGACGACGACGGCGACGACGAGCGAAAGCGAAAGCGAGAGCGAAAGAGAACGACAGCAGGGCCACAAGGACACGAAGTAGGCCACGAAGGGCGACAGCGGGGACACGAAGGGAATGCGTATGGGGCCACGAAGAGCGCGAACGAGCGGGGGCCACGAAGGGCAGATAATGCGGGGCCACAGAAGGCAACGATGGGGCCATTGAGGGTAGCACCTGGGCCTCGTAGGACAGCGAGGGGGGCCACATATGGCGACAGCGGGGCCACGAAGGGCATGCACATGGGGCCACAATGGGCGCGACTCCTGGGTGCATGGGTGTCGGGAGCGCCGCGCTTGGGCAAATTGCAAGAAATTCCAACGCAAGGGCGCTATTCTTCAGCAAATTGCAAGCAAGTCTCCAGCGAGAGCGACTCCAGAGTGTCGGACATGCGATTCTTGTATACATTGAAATAATTGAATAAAATGCGGAGAAGTCTCGGGCAAGAGCGGAGGTCCTGGCAAAAATGTGAGGAAGTCTCAAGCGGGAGCCGTTGTTGTAACCCGGGCGCCAGGGGCTCAGTTTCAGCATCCAGACTTTCCGTGTCAAAAAACCAAGTGCGAGCGTCGAGGGGCACACTTTGACTGAGAAAAAC